TTATAATTATATATTTTTATTAACCGCTGTTATTATTTCAGTTTCAGATACTCCTTAGGTCGTTTTGCGAATGCGAACATGTATTTTTTTGTTATTTTACTGCTGATTACGTTACCTACTGTTCAAAGATACAGATAAATAAATAACGAATAACAAGAGAAGGAAACACACCAAAGTATACCTTCTAAATTTAATAAATTGTGAAATTAGTTAGGAAGACATTCGTTTTGTTAATCTTAAGCTGAATTTGTTAGTATTTCAGGAGATTAGAGCAAACAGTTGATTAGTAGCACAAGATTTACGATCGCGGAGATAAAGCAGGGTCTTGAGAAGCGAATTGCAAATGGCGAGCTAGGTGGATTTTCAGAAAGCACTGATCGAATTCTCGTGAAACAGTTCCTATTTAAACAGTTTCTAATCTTCTCACAAACTAAATCTTGAGAACTGAGCAGTTCATTTCTAGGCATTAAAATGACAGTTTTGCCTCGCTTCTCCATATAGTCTTCTGTTATTCGAAATTCGTATTACTCATTTTGAATGGCCGTAGAAAAATGTTTTTTTTTCTTTTATGAGGCCATGAATAACATTAGGGGAAGAATGCCTCTGCCTTTAAGAATCTCGTTTATGAGTTTATGGACAATAGCTCGAAATGTTCGTCGGATAATTTTTAGGATAATTTTATTTTAGAGGGAGGGTAAGTAACATTTAAGTGTAACTAAATTTTTTTAACAATTTTTTAAATTCGTAATTTGAAACATTTGTCATTTCTCACGTTTCAGCATTTTTTGATTTGGATTAATTATGTGTTATATCTTACTTGATATCTTTATTTAAATAGCCTATTTAATTAATTTATCACCAGAGTCAGACCAAGTGTTAACCGCTATTATTGTTTAAACCTCAAACAGATGAGCGTAAGTTCCATAAAAAAAAAGATATGCAAACATAAAAATACCACAAAATTCGTTCGTAATTTTATTTGGCCTCATAATTTTCACCTGATCCGCCAACTCTAACATGCGTACAAAGTAATTACACTATCACATCTAAAGCTTCTAATCTAATTACAATTTGACGTCGCACATGTCATCTGAGACGAGATCGCAATAAACTTAGGCAATTAAGCCCTGTTTGATTGCTGCCCTGTACAGAGATCACAATTACGAAGGTGTCAGTAACGCTTCGCTTGGTTCCTTAATAAGGCTGATACCACTGATGTAAGCAACCCGGGATTGATGAACTACGAGTATGTTGACAGTCCTGTGTCAATTTAACTTTTTACTTGCAGTCAATTTCTTCTTCTTCTCTGTCGTTTCCTCATTGCTGAGGGTCGTGACCACCTTGGTCCAGTTTTTGCACCAACTTCCTCCAATGCTGCCTGCATTCGGCCTGCTTAAGGGCGCCCGGGACGCTGGTGTTTGTGGCCTCCTTGATAATGTCCGTCCACCTGGTTGGCAATCTTCCTCGACTTCTCTTTCCTTCCACGTGACCTACAACTATTAATTTTTCCATGTTCTCGGGATTTTGTAGGGCCACGTGTCCGAAGTACTTGAGGAGACGCTGCATGCAGATTGTAGATAGACGGGTCTTGACGTTTAGCTTGTCAATTGAGTGGGTCTATTTCATAATTGGCTTGGAATATTCCAAATGTGGTAACTACCACGCACAATTACTCAAAATTATTTGTATTCATGAAAGGCGTGAAAACGTTATTTGAATTAATAAATTCATAGTAGTATTAATTGGTTATCAGAGTCATTGGGCTTTGATAATTGACCATTGATCATTGACCACAAATTGATCATTGAGTTTCTCACCAGATCTTCTCAAGGGGCCGCGATTCCAACCGGTTGTAGATACAGCGCAGCACTTTTCTTACTAGGGCAGATTTTAGCAAATCTCTCAGGATGAGTCCTATGAGCTTCCCACCGATCAAAGTGAAGCCAGAAGCCCTTCGAGCTTACTGGCAGTTAGGTAGTCAAAAGAAGCACAACGTGAAAACGCACAACGAATACCCCAAGAAATTAAATCGAAAACTTAGTATTCTAACGGTGGTAACTGTCTTTAATTTAGAACGCGTGACTATAGCTATTTTGTATGTTTCACAGTAACTGTATGGTAAAGGTATATTATATTACTTTGTTCCCTTAATGCTCAAGTTTGCGTGCTTTGTAGTGCTTATGTTGATTGAGTGAGTACAATGTGGAATGAGCGTTGGTAAATGCTATCAGTTTTTGCGCGATATTTTTTTGTTACTGGCCCTTTCAAAATAAGACCCTAATTTCCTTTTCCAATTTCAAACATTATAGACCTATTAAATATCTTTTCCCTTGATACACCTAAAATTTTTATAAATTTTATCGGCAGCTCGGTTGCAAATTACCTACCTGGAGTGTCGAACGAAATTTACTTATTCACCCGACGACCATAACTCAAAACCGCGTTTGACGCTGACAACAAATTATTAGGTCGTGGCCTCGGTGTTTTGTTTGACCTAAAACAATGCTTTCCAAAATCATGTGTTAGCTGATGAGTAATTCTGCATTAATTATTTAAGTGGCAATGAGGAAATTCTGTAGATGAAAAATCTTCTTAAAATTATGAAGTCATTTGAGTTTCTTGATTAATCCATTCTATACATAATATAATACATTCTAACATAACATCCATTTTATTCATAATAACATTCTATCATAACATTCATTCTATTCATAATATAATACAAGTAACAAATATGAAACTGAGTTTTTTTTTTGACACGTCGGAAGTCGATTTTCATGTGCTCAGCTTAGCATTATAAAGTATTTACATTAATTACCCGTATATACAAACGTAAATAAAAAAAGATTTCAATCGGAAAATTAAACATGCCTGAGAGATTTTTGTAAAAGTTTCTAGAAAATATAAACGTAAAATAACAATGTTTATTTAGACTGGTCCGTTCGCTATTAATGTAAAACAAAAAAGGACTGAGAAAATATTTTTCTTGGCTGGATCTTATTTTTTCAATTCAATTAGTGGTGTTTCTAATCGTTCCGCTTCTAAATCCGCTACCTAACAACTTGCAGCACCGTAAGGTATCGATCAGCATTGGAGAGGTTTCTCTCTGAATGCGGTTCGTTAGGTATGTTAGCACTCAGTGAGCGAGGAGCCGTGCGTGCCCCTTGTTTCTTCACACCCTCAACACCAAGGTAAAATCGAGTATAATAATATTTGATTAGAAGCCAGGTGTTCAGTTGTAGTTCCTTAGTATTTTGTTTGAGAAGTCAAGATCCGTTAAGAGGCTTTCTGTGTTTAGTGAGGTTTGTAAGTCAATAGAGCGAAGTTGCTGAGACAAATGCGCTTACCCTTTAAAGGAATTGTGTAAAATTACTGTTGAAAACTAATATTATAACAAATTCATAAATAGCTATTTACTAACGTTTAACATTTTCTAGTATAATTCTTTTCATTGACAAACCTCGCACTCCCTACTTTTTATGGAACATTGTTTAGAGATTTCCAATTTGTTAAGCTCACGAAATTTATCACCAGATTCTACTGTCACATTTTTTAGTATAGCTATACCCATAGCTATTCTTGATTTTTCAGTCTATGCTTCTAATAGTCTAGAACATAAATCATGTTGAAATACTTTAGCACGTTGCGTCTGTGAAAATCAATCTTTATCGATTTTATTTATCGGTCTTAGCTAAAAAATGTAGATAAACTTACTCAGAAATAACTTTGGTTGTTAATGTTAGATATTTAATATTAAATAGGTTGTACAGAAGATCTTAAGCTAAAATGTTTTATTAGTATATTGAAACCAAAATCATTTTTTAAGCTTTATTTATTTACTAATAAACGATTCCTTTCCAATGACATTTTAATTTCAACTTCGCTTAGAAAACCGGGTAGTGTGGTATTGGCAGCAGTTGGTTAAAAGTAATGTGTGGAAAAACGATACAAATTCCCAATCCGCTTCCAACATTTCGAACTTCACGCCCAGTTTTACGTATTGAATAGAATTTAACGGTACTTTTTCGTTTCGTCCATTCCAAAAGTTCGTTGTGAAAGGTGACAATTTCACAACAAAATAACAGAGTTTTTAAAGCTTGCAATTCGTGTCCGATTGCTGGGATTGTGTTTTTGAATCCGTGTAAATTTTCTATGTAAAGAGAATCCGATCGCCCGCCCTTACTTGTAACTTTTTATCAATCGTTAAACCGTTAAATGTAACTGATGTTTAAATCATATTTTATTGTATGTTTAATCGTTGTTTTGTATGAAATACGAAATTTGAGCGGAATAATAATAAACGAGATCTGGATGACCGAAAATAATTAGTACTATTTTTTTTTATTGCATAGATGGGCGGACGAGCTCACAGTCCACATGGTGATAAGTGGTTACTGGAGCCCAAAGACATCTACAACGTAAATGCGCCACCCGCCTTGAGATATAAGTTCTAAGGTCTGAAGTATAGTTACAATCGCTGCCCCACCCTTCAAACTGAAACGCATTACTGCTTCACGGCAGAAATAGGCAGGGTGGTGGTACCTACCCGCACGGACTCACAAGAGGTCCTATCACCAGCAATCACGCAAATTATAATTTTGCGGGTTTCATTTTTATTACACGATGTGATTGGGACATTAAACTGACTTATTATTGTCGTCACTGGTTGTTTTTACATTAAGATTAGTGAATTTCAATCAAACTTCTTTAGACCTATTGTTAAAATTTTAAGTGAAGCACAGATACAACATTTGGTATGTTAGTGTGACTATGAAAAAAAAAAAATCCCTGAATGCCAAACGAAAATATTTCAACTAGTTTCAACACAATGAAATAAAAACTAATTAAGAACTTATAGTTCAGGAATAAAAAAATAAGGCTATATAAAACTAATAATTTGATAGATTCCTGTCTAGAATAATTTTATTGAAAACTTCTTTATAATAATATTATTAAATAGATGTAAATGCGGCTTTGTTTTTTATATTATTAAATTACAGACTATGACGAGAAACAAACATATCAAAGGGTCACAGAAAGGCTCAGCTATTAAAGTCCTGGATAAAAGCTTAGAAACTGTTGACAAGCCAACAAATTCTGATTGTTTGGATGAAGAGGAACAAGGTTTTGGAGGTTGGCTCAGGTAATATAAATCTTACAATAGTTGTTAGATTATTACAATAAAAGGAGATTTTTTTTTTTCAATTTTTTTTTATTTAACAAATCTAACACAACGAGGAATTAATAAATCCTTTAAAAAGTAATTTTGAAATTCAATGTAAAAGATATAGTACAAAATTAGAATGGAATGTTTTTTAGTAAATAGTTTTATTTTCGCGAAAACCTCGAATATTTCTTATTTAAAAACTTTAACACACAAGCGACTTAAAGGTCTGTTACGCTATTGTTCACTTTATATTTAATTTCATGAATAGAATTTTGAAGTTGCCTGTAATTTTCTGAACTTCTGAATAAAGGATAACAAATATTTACCGTTAACAAAATACTTTTCAAAATATTTTAACACTTAAGATCTCATGAAGATCAAGCAAACTGAAGGCTCAAACAATTTAATTGTTTGAATTTTGTTATGAAATTGGTTCGAAATACAGATTTATAAGTAAATGTTGGTAGAATAGCTTTGTTGGCGTTAATCTTTAATTCTGTCCTCACAGGCTTTCAAAAGAAAGCGTTCGGGGAATCATTTTTAAATTAAATCTTGACAATTTACTGCAGCTTGTACAAGCCGTTAAGGATGGTACATAGGGACTTTTCGATTTGCTATATTTCCTCTTTTTGGGCTAGCTTTAGGTGGCCATCTCAGGCTAACTTCTTAATTACTCTTGAACTGGATGCCTCTTAAAATTTCGACTTCAAGAACCTAATTATTAAAAAAATAATCTTAAGAGATCCTTTTGGAATTTAACATATGATTCTTGTCAATGAATTTTTTTTTTTTTTGTTGCGTTTATGGGTGGACGAGCTCACAGCCCACCTAGTGTTAAGTGGTTACTGGAGCCCATAGACATCTACAACGTAAATGCGCCAACCGTCTCGAGATATAAGTTCTAAGGTCTCAGTATAGTTACAACGGCTACCCCACCCTCTGAACCGAAACGCATTACTGCTTCACGACGGAAATAGGCGGGGTGGTGGTACCTACCCGTGCGGACTCCCAAGAGGTCCTACCACCAGTGGTATATCTTGTAATAGCTTGGAATTAAATTGAATTAATTTCTTTACGTACTTTATTCTTAAATTCACCCCCTTTCCTTTCCAGTAATACGAGTATAGATCGTGAAATATTTTAATAACACACATATTGTGTATACTTCGAAAGGAAAGCATGTTGTTAATGCACAAGTAATACATGCAAGCGAAATGTAATTGTAAACCCAGAACTTTGCAAAAAGCCATCTCTGCAAACAATATCTAAGCAATAAAAAAAAATGAACTTTACTGCTCACTATATTTGTTTATAATGATTTTGATTCTTCAATCGTATGAAAACCTAGCAATTCCCTAGTATAGTCCCTCAGGGGACTACACAACATAGAGGATGATATTTTTAGAAGCAAAGTAGAAAGGACAGTATTTTTAGATATTTCTTGTACGTCTGCAAATAAGGACCATAGTGTTTTTAAAAGGTGCTTAATTTTAGAACAGTTAAAAATGAATATTGAAAACGCCACGTTTTAAAACTCGCGTGTCTGAAGATAATAACTGTAGCGCCCAAACATTGAACAAAAATTAAAGTTTATTGACACAGACAGAACTTTAAACCTAGATCTAAAATTTTGCCTATCATAACATTCCCTAAGAAAATCGTAGGCGGTGTTTTGTTTGTTTCATTAAAATCCTTTGCTTACATCAGACAAGTTTTGAATTATAGCCTGTTTATTTTGTCCAACTTTTAGAAGTGATAAGTTCTTTAACTGTTTGTTAGTACGAAATGTTATGGGTTTGTATCACCGAGATGTTAATGTTACGAACACATCGTATTTATCTATCCGTGTGTTGTGCGCGTTAGTGCTTTTTTGATGGGTGAAATCTTGTGAGCTCGCGTCACCGAAATGCGTAAAAGCAGTTAATCTGTTTTCTTTTTTTTTCTACCCTTGTCGATAGCCTTGCGAGGCTATTTCAGCTTCTCCTTGACGTGTAGGTGAGCTCAAACCGGAGGCTCAAACCGGAGTGTTGCTAACACTGGCCCTAGCAAGAGCAGTACTTCGCAGAATGTACCACCGGATCGAAAACGCGACCCACTGAGAAGATCCGCCGAGAAACTCAGTGGGCATATATCTGTAACTGTATTGTGCAACATTACTGTGTATCTTTACAAGTAAATTAGAATGGATTTATTAAAAAGTGTTTGTATATTAATTGTTATTTCAATTGAATTGTATTTATATTTTGTCATGATCTTGTAGTCCGTAATATAATTTAATAATAAATAAACCATATAAACATGTACCTATGTATTTGCTCGGAGTGTCAATAGATGTGAAAAACAGATTTATGTTGAAAATTTTAATTTAAGCATTATGATATTTAAAATTTGAATACTTAGGTATTGAATACGTAGGCAGCGGCTTGGCTCTGCCCCTGGCATTGCTGAAGTCCATGGGCGACGGTAACCACTCACCATCAGGTGGCCCGTATGCTAGTCTGCCTTCAAGGGCAATAAAAAATAATAATTACATTCTAAGTTATAAGTTTTCACTTCTATCGGCAGTGCCTATGACTGTAATTTTTTTGGATGCATTAGCCTTGAGAGTAAGTGGAATTACTAGTGGTATGGCGTATTGGAAGCATCCATAGATACGTATTTATCGAAAGGCAAAGTTTTTGGCCCGCGGCTGTTAGTGTAGACATCCAGTACAATAAAAAAAATGCTTATTTTATTTAAGATGCGAATTAGTCTACAGAAATATTGATATATTAAGTAAGTAAAATAAAGGTGTATCATGATTTACTTTCTCTAATTGAACATTTTCCACAGATCCACAAATGGTTTAGAAACGATGAAGCTGTTCGTGATTGCCAACAGTATTGTGATGCTCACGACTTTGGCCTATCCTCACATGCAAAATATCATCGGGATTGTATCCGATCTAATGTATGGACCAGATTCTATATATTGAATAAATCACCCTTACAAATTTGTATTCTTGGTATAATATTTATGTCATTTATTATTTGTTTTTTAATATAGTTGAATTAGTGCATTCGACTTCTCACATTATACCATAGTATTTTTAACTATTATATTATTATTATGAAAAGAGAGGTCTAGAGCTCTTTCGTTTTTGTTATTGATTTTAACTTATATTTTTCCTAAATTTACTTTTTCTTTATTATTCATTCGTTTCTTATTGAATTCATACTATTGTGCTCAGTTTCAATGCATGCTTATGTATCTTTAGATAAGCATTGTTTATTTTGGTTTTTTAAATAAGATATTAGTCTAGTTGCATATCGTTTAATTCATTTTAAAATGTTCAGCCTAATATTTCGCTTAGTATTTACATTAAGTGTTTTGGTGTGGTATTCTGTGAATGTATGGAATATGATCGCCGATTATTTTAATAAAGAATTTCATAAGCTTTTATCCAATGGATCGGATTCGATAGAAGAATTCGAATTATAATGAATGTGGTTATATAAAATATACCCTAAAATGTATCGTCATTCATTTTGATTCATTTTTTCAATTCAAATTTAATTTTTACGTTCACTTGCTAATTTATCTGAAAATATATTGAAAGTTTTAAATCAGTGTTATTTTTTCGTAGTTTTAGCCACCGATTTATTTATCTACCTTTATGAATGAATGAATGAATGATTTATTTTATTTCTGACAACAATAAGTCCATATGTGTACATAGTATCATTGAAACATACTTAAAATTAACAAAACCAATCAAATAAAAAAGATACATTTATTAAAAGTAGTTATCAGTTGAATACATTTCAAAAATTCCATTCCACTGATACCTACTTCGAACCAACCATTATTATTATTATTATTATTGTTTAGTCCGCAAGTGAACCATGGTACAATGGTTCAAGTACCGATTTTTTTTTTTTTTTTTTTTTTTTCCTTTTTNACGCACAAATGTGTATTCCGATGCGTAGGTCGCAAGCGACCAACGGATTGGAAGGCACGTTCACACACAACCGAGTCGTAAACGAGAATGTATTCACGGTCACTAAACTGTCGAGCACAACTGTGAGTTCAGAGACGTAGCTCGCAAGCGGGCCACGGATCGGAAAGCACGTCCGCGCACGACCGAGTCGTGAGCGAGAATGTCAAGTACCGACAGTCATAACTGTATATATATAATATATGTACCCACTTTTCGAACCGGGACGCATTGCCGCTTCTGAGTCCTCGTGTCCCTTCCCGGGGACCTGGTTCGGGCATCGGCGAGATCTGCCCGGGCTTATTACTTCGCGCTCTGTTCGAATATGAATTAAGTACTTATTTCACTTAAAAAATTAGTACCTCTGCCTGGAAGATTCGAATAGTGGCACAGTCGCATCCCTCGATTCCAACACACCGAGCGTCTTTGAAATTTGATTCGTTGGTAAAGCCGTTGATAAATAAAGTAATGCTATTTTCAATTTATAATATCTTAAGGTACGTAATAAGGTAAGTAATTCGCTTTGAAGGGTGGGGCAGCCGTTGTACTGTAAAAACTGACAACTTAGAGCGAATATCTCAAGGTAGGTGGCGGCTTTTACGTTGTAGATGACTATGGGCTCCGGTGACCATCTATGAGCTTCGTCCACCCACCTAAGCAATAAATAACAAGGTACGTGTAAATGGTAAATGTATGTAAAAATTAGGTAAAAGCCTTCCGGTAACCACTTAAAACTAAGTAGGCCGTGAATCCGTTCACAAAAAGTGCTACTTGGCTTGTTTTCGGGTCTCCTCAATTTCTTGTCCGTCGCCTTATATTTTTTAACAGATTTTTAAATTTGTGTCATTCATTTTAATTCGCTACAAAATTTACAATGGTAATAAAAAGGATTTTTAATAATTTTTAAAGGATATTTACATAATCCTACAAGGAATTCCGCGTAACGAATAAAGCTGGTAAGAGTAATGTAACCAGAAGCGCGAACTAAATCTCATAAATTATAAGATTTTATCTCCAAGATATAGAACCAAAAATATACTTAATAATAATATACTTGATACGAATACTTTATAAAGTATAAAGGCGCTCGAGCATATCCCATAAATAATATGAGGTTATTAAATACTTTATTATGTGTGCTTTGTGAGAAGTTTTACAGGAGAAACGTTAAATAATACATACACGTGTGGGTACATGTTTTCGCACTGGATTATGAGTTATTTAGTGCTAAAGACCACTGGAATCCTAAAATAGTAGCTTAAATGAGAAGTTCTCAATTACATTGATCCACAGCAGAATTAGGCAGGGACTTAGCGATCCTTGCAGTGTTACAAAGTTGTTACGTGTTTTACTATTAGGCTTTAATTAATCTTTAATTATATACCTACGCTAGTACTGCTGTTGCATTGGAATAAATCTGATCTAATGCAGGTACGCCCTGAAGCAACCGTATTCAGTCAGAATTGTCATGTCGCGAAGAGGATATATATATTTTTTTTGGTCAGGAGGAAATCCCTGGACTTTCGCCCTCTACTGGGGTGGCGAGCGGAGCATGTCGGAGTCGAACCGTCTAAAACCTCCTTTTTTTGTTTGTTGTTTTTTTTTTGTGTAGGGGCCGATCCGCCTACGAGGTCCCTGCGCAAAAGGGGCGCGCGGGGTATGTGCGACTCAACGATCTGCATGGTGTTGTGAGCAGACCGCGGGCCCAAGTATATTAGGGCCCACACACTAAACGACTCCCCTGCACTCCTACACCTGACGTCCGGTCTAAAACCTCCTGTCGCTCAACAACCAACGTCCAAACCTCGCACGAGACAGAACTCATAAAAAGGCAAAGGGGATGTCGCGAAGGGTAAAGCATTCTCTGTCGCAATTTTGCTAGATACCGAGGACTACATAACGTGTTCTGCGCAGACTACAGACTACTAACTTCAAGATAGGATTCGATCAGCTGATGGAAATCGGGGGAACTTCTTCACGCTTCTTCTTCTGCTTCCATTATATGTGGAACCTTAGCGGAAGCGTCACTGTCATCGAACTTTGACGGGGTGCTCATATAGACAGCAATAAAACTCACTCGCTCCCAGAGAAACAGTGCCGAGACGATTTCTAGCAACTGCTGAGGGCCAAAAAGCTAGATTAAAGGAGGCATCCATTGGGTGTCCACACCATTTTTGTTTAATCTCAGTTTTAATTTTTAAAGTAATTGGGCATTTCAATAGATTTCCTCTCTTTGATATTCGAAAATTAAAAGTAAAGAACAAAAAAGGAAGCAATCTTGATTCGCTCATTAACGTTTATTTGAGAAGTGAGGAGGCTTTATTAGGTATTTCTAAAAACAAATAACATGTAGATTTACAGTTAATTGAAGTTCTAGTAATGAACCTTAATTTAATTAAAAACTCCTTAATGGGAGTACTTAGCTGGCCGTTCTTTACAATAGCCGTTTCTTTTTCTTAAGTCTTCGCTGCAAATTAAGTTTGGTAATGTCCAAGAAGAATGTGGTCGTTTCGAAGGCGGGTTTTTCTCATTTTTTTTACTGTGTGACACGAAAGATGGATGCTTTTTGAAGAAAATAAGTAAGTTTTTACTGGTTGTTGTACTTCACTCGAATTCCCTGCTTTCAGGCAAAATCGAAAGTTGGCATGATAAAAAGATTTTTTTATCATGCCATAATAAGTAATCCCGCTATTTAGTATTAATATGGACTTCAAGATGTTAATTACTCCATGTGCGTAGAGCGTTACCGCTCTGGCAATAGTGAGTGAAGTAACAGTCTGCCAATAATATTTGTATTACTTTTGCGTAAAATTTATTTATATATGTCCAAATCCATGTAACTGGTTTATAAAATACTAGCAAACTGGTCCAATTTGCTGGTCGATCTTTGATTTGTCTTTCATCCGAGCGCTACCAGATTTCGGAAAATCATCTTTTATTTATTTATTTTTATTGCTTAGTTGGATGGACGAGCTCACAGCCCACCTGGTGTTAAGTGGTTACTGGAGCCCATAGACATCTACAACGTGAATGCGCCACCCACCTCGAGATATAAGTTCTAAGATCTCAGTATAGTTACAACGGCTACCCCGCCCTTCGAACCGAAACGCATTACTGCTTCACGGCGGAAATAGGCGGGGTGGTGGCACCTACCCGTGCGGACTCCCAAGAGGTCCTACCACCAGTTATTACGCAAATTATAATTTTGCGGGTTTGATTTTTATTACACGATGTTATTCCTTCACCGTGGAAGTCAATCGTGAGCATTTGTTGAGTACGTCTTTCATTAGAAAAATTGGTACCCGCCTGCGAGATTCGAACACCGGTGCATCGCTACGTACGAATGCACCGGACGTCTTATCCTTTAGGCCACAACGACTTTAAATTCGAACTCCGGTGCATCGCTACGTAGGAATGCACCGGACGAGGCTATAGGGAACATCAATTTTCAAATAAATCGATTAGTGTGTTTGTTATTTGTAAAAAAAACTTGGTGTAATCTATTAATATCAAAAGTGTGGGGATAATCGCAATTGATTTATTACCGAATTGATAGGTAAAGGTTTCCTAACAGCCTACCATGTCTGGATCCAAGCCAAATGCACTACTATTTCCTAGTCTGGCTGCTACGCCAACTATTTGGAAAAGCTAAACTTGTAAACGTGACTAATTACTTCGAACAACTCCAAAGAGTTTTTAGATGCAACTGTACTGAATTTGAAATTCAATGGTTTAAATGGAGTGTTTTGTTTTTGTTTTTTAATAAATAATAAAATAGAGTACCTAAAACAAATAGAATTTTGTAATAAAAATTGGAACTACGACAATATTTAGCTCTTGTTTCAAATGATTTGAGATAATCAATTTCAAGTTGGACGCGGGTAATGTCCCAGTTCACATATTGTAGTATACCGATTTTTTTAATTCTAATTAATTTGTGTATAAATGAATTTTCGAGAACAAACCGATTTTTTATTTTGAACTATTGCTGAAAGAAT